CTCAGGTTCCCCTGTGTGCGAATGACACCCCCTGACCCATCACTAGCCAGACCTTGCCTTCCACCCCAGACCCGATGTTCCCAGCCCATCCCCAGGCTGCCCTTCTGCATCACCCCTTCAGTTGGCAGCCCTTTCTTTCCAAGGGTGCAGGCCAGAATCCTTGGGATTACCCTTGACCTTGACTCTGTCTCACCAACCACATCCAGTCCGTCCGGGAACCTCCCTGAAGCTGTACCTTTAAAACATACCCAGAATTTGCCCACTTTGCCCTCTTCCTCTGCCTCCATCTGGCTCCAGCCTCCATCATGGTCCACCTGGAGCAGCTTAGCTCCCCCAGCCCTGGTCCCTGGCTCCTACCCTCACCCTTACAGTCTGTCCTCTTGGTGTCCACCAGAGGGCGCACGTGAGCGCTTGGGTCAGGTCCTGCCCTTGCCCATCCTGACAGTTCTCCCTCAGCAGCCAGCATAAGGCAGGCCCCACCCCTCCTCTGCCCACAGCTCTCCAGGGCTCTCTCTTTCCTCAGGATAAAAGCCCAAGTTCTCCCCGAGGCCCAAAAGGTCCTGCTCCATCCCACCCCCCTTTCCTCTCTGCCCTCACCTCTTCTCTCCCCCTTGCTCACTGTGCTTCAGCCATACAGGCTTCCTCCATCGTGCCAGGCACAGACCTGCCCCAGGGCCTTTGCATGTGCTGTGCTCTCCACTTGGAATGCTCTTCCCCTAGATGTCTGCTTGGCTCCTCTTTACCTTCTTCAGAACTGCTCAAATCCCACTTTCCCCATAGGACTATGTGGATCACTTCTTTTCCCAGCCCTACCCTGTTCTACTCCCCCCAATCCAGCACTTTCTGCCTTGTATCACGCTATCTCATTTACTTATTTCCTATGTCTGTCTTCCTCCATCAGGGTAGGGGGGTCTCTGCTTTGCTCACTGATTTTCTAGCACTGTGTCTGGCATGGAGTAGATACTCGGTAAGCATTTGGGGAATGAATGGCCAAGGCCCTTGAGTATGAATGGAGCACTTAGGAGTGTGAGCTCAGGGATGACCTTATTTCACCTCACTAGCATTGTCAGGACTACACTCAACCCTTCTGTGGTTGGTGGAGAGGCCCCTGGGTGAGGGGTCTCAAGCTCAAATGCCCACAGGGCCAGTTAGCTGAAGTAAGGGGAAAGGTGGGCTGGGGGAGAGGGGACCTGCACAGACCTCCCCACCCTGTTCACAGGGGGCTGCTTGGCAATTGCCATCTGGTGGGCCCAGGGTAGCCAACGGTTCATAGAGGGTGGGGATTGCAGTTTTTATGTGACATCTCTCCAAGTTCTAAACATGGGCAACACGTTCACATCATTTAAAACACTAGTCCTGAAATAAAATGATAATCAAATATACCTACCCCTGTGTTCACAGCAGGACAATTCACAATCGACAAAGGTGGAAACAACCCAAATGTCCATCATCGGATTAATGGCTAAACAAAATACGGTTCAGCATACCATCTAGAACAGCTGGCATAGAGCAGGTGCTCAGTATTTTGGTGGACAAATGAATGAATGAAAACAGGACTCCTGTGGGCCTGGGGATTAGACTGCTGACATGAATACAGGTGGGAGAAATTAAGCACTACTGCGAACCAACTGTATACCAGGGCGGAGGTGAGTGTTAGAGCGTGGAGTAATGAAGCACTGGGGTTGCTAGGTGCAAGACTCATCTTTTCCAGCAGAGGGCGCTTTAGGAGAACATGCTAATGACGCAAATTAAACGCAAATGAGCCATAGGCGGGCCCTGGGGGAGGGGGGGGGCTTTTCTCGTCAGGCGCGCCGTGGACAGCTCAGACGCCGAAGGGACCTTGGGCTCAAGATGGCGCTACTGCCGCCGCTGAAGACCGGGCGCCGGCGCCGGCGAGGCTGTCGGAGGCCTCAGGCAGAACAGTCTGCACCCTCCACCCCATCTCTCACACCTGCTTGTCTCGGCCCAGGGGCTCACGACCCGCCTCGATCCCGCGAGATCAGAAGTTTCTGATCGGGCGCGCTGTGGACAGCCGCTCTCCCCGAGCTTTACGGCAGCGTCCGGGGGCCTCTGGGGGCCTCGGAGCAAGATGGCGGCGTCGGGGTCTGTGAAGCGCGGGCGGAGCGATCGCGG